AATTGAAATTTTACGGATAAGATTATTATCTTGTTGATGAAAAAAAACTAGATATTTCTATTAAAAAACTGCTATCTGATCAGAGATATAGAACGTCTCTAAGAATATGCAAATGTGAAATAATTTTGTTAAAAAATTGTTTAATTAGGATCAATGTTGTTTTTTTAATAAATTAATAAATAAGTGCAGGGAAATTATGAAAGGAAAGGGATACCGGAAAAACTGATTGCAAGCAAGCAGCACATTATAGATTCAAATTATAGTCTATACAAACCAATACAAGTTGTTGATGGTCAACATAGAGCTGAAAAAGAGATTTAAAAAATCCAGAGACTAATACCAGTATTTTACTGCAAATACCATATAATTCCTCGTATATTACATTGCGTGATCTGTATTTATCGATTCCTTTTGATCTTCGCGTAGGTTCTTTTTTTTCCTCATACGAGTCGATCTTCATTATATTTTTATTATTATTAGTTTTGCGTTACAAGTTGTCGCACGCAAAACACAAGTCTCTTTACATAATTTTTCTCCATTTTTCAGCGGAGACGATGTATTAACAATAAATAAATTATAGACTCATATTATTTATTTATTGCATGACAATGACAACAATGATTATAAAAGAGTGTATACGGCTACATTTATATTTCTTTTATGTACAATCAAATATATAACGTTCGATTCTACGTGTTAACCCCCCCGAACGTCGGTCTCGATTATTATTTATCTGTCACGCGTAGCCCGATCTCACCTCTGCGTCCGCAAAGATCGCACAGATCATCGCGGTAAAATTATCGAGTAGAAAAATATATAAAATATAACGGCGACGAGTCGAGGGAGTTAAAAAACATGATCGATATTAAACGCCCATGAAATCACGGAGATCGAAATCGGCGCTTCTCGACATAATCTCAATTAGGCTACACACTGTTAAATATTATAATGAGCAAATATAAATTTCAATTCCTTGAGTTCAATAACATTTCGTTATTTTTAACATCCATGTGTGTCCACATTAAAAATACAGTTGATTATGAAACATGTGATTAAAAAATATTCACACCTGATCAACCCCCATTTCTGTGATTGATTTGCTTTTCAAAGTAAACAACAAACAAATTCACATCAATGCATTTAGTAAATAAACTAAATTTGATACATTTCTCAAGTTAAATTATTTACTCCATCGTTTTAGTTAAATTAACGACATATTGATCTATAAAGAATTATATATAAAGATATATATATATACATATAAAGAAATCATTAAAAATAATTCAAATTAGGTATAATTTGACATTACAAATTTAACAGTGTACGAGGCCTTTAAATTCAACGAGGCGCATATAAGATGACGCTCCTCATTTATTTCTAGAATTAATTTCAACTAATTTTCATTCGAAATCACCGACAGGCAAAAGTGATCTTTACGGTAAATCACGACGGTGAAAACTGCTGCGACGAGTCGATTGCAATCGCCGCAACGTGCGAGACCGCGTGGGTTTCAATCTCCGTAAAACGTTATACGCACGCCCAGCGCCCGTGAGATGCACACTCGGGGAGAAAATGCACTTCGCTTCGCTCGCGAGAGTTTCGCGAGTACTCTCGATAGTTTGACACGCGGGCGCGAGGATAAAGTTGAGCAAGTTTGCAAGTCGAGCCTCTCTCTCTCTCTCTCTCTCTCTCTCTCTCTCTCTCTCTCCGCTATTGCCCACAGCAGCGATTCTCGAGGGGGAAGGCGAAACGATTGCCCGTGGAAAGCTGGGAAAACTCAACGTTGCAGCGAGTTGTGAAGCGCACCGCATACAAAGCTAACTACGCGTAATAACAGTTGCGAGAGTTCCTACCTGCAGGTAGCCGGAAAGTATTTAACGAAAATCAGCGGGCGATTCTCGAGTGACAAGAGAGTCAGGAGTCGCGCGATAAAGGAGCATTAAAATTACCGTTAACGGCGCGAAGTAGGAGAATAAAATCGACATTGGATTCTTCCGAGCTCGAATTCTCGAAAAGCGAAAGGCAATCGAATGTACCTTTGTTCTTGTCACTCCAGGCAGAAAGCAATTTGACAAAAGTCAATAAAAAGTTACAGGCATTCACGCTGCTCGCTGTTGTGAATAATAAATAACAGTTTCAGGTAAATATAAATAAAAAAAAAAAATCTATTTTCGACGCTTAAATAAAAAAATTTCTCGATCTTGATCGATTCCTCGCGACAGTTTTTTTTTTCAACAAGATGCCCGGGAGCTTACTTGTCTGGATTTTTTTCCAGTTACCCGGAACGACGTTTGGAGATCCTTCGACAGCTGGTATTGCCGCGTCCAGACGCATACGACATATTTAAATTGAACTTGCGCGTGACCTTGACTCCTTTAGAGTTATTTTCACATTATACGGAGCTCGAACGAGGCCGATGGGCCTCTGCATCGTTGGCAAATTTCTCTCTCTCTCTCTCTCTCTTTCTCTTTCTCTCCCGCTTTCTCTGTTCTGCGGCCAGGCATGCACCTAAACCGATCAATAACGTATCTTTCGTGCCTACGTCTTGCGGCTGCGGCGCAGTATATAATCGGAGGTATTTTAACGGTAAAATTATTCCGCAGCGCTCGGGCACACGAATATTAAACGAGAAACATCTCTCTTTGTTTTCCCCCCTCCCCCCCCTATCTCTCTTGTTTCAGTTTAATATCAGTTGTAATAACGAGCGATTAACCAGGTTTGCTCCAGATTGGAATGAATAAGATTTTGAGGTCGTGCAATCAGCAAGTGATTACTGGGCGGCGAGCACACGAGAACCGTGTGTACGCCATCGAGAAAACAAGCTGAAGCTTGACGGCGCGAATGATCTCGCTCGTTATTCCAAAATAGAATTGATATATTTTTCCCCCGCACGGAAAAAAAATTACTGCTGCCACAACATAATAATTGTGATAATTTTCGCCCATCAATTTGAAAGAGTTCTAGGAACTGAAGGTACTTTGGAAGTGACTTATATAGTTAACTGAACTCTCAGCCTCAATGTTGGGACGTGCAACTATATCATATATATATATATATCTCAATCATACTATTTGCTGTGCAGACCACATTAGAGAGATAACAATAATGCTTCGGTTGAGGCAAACCACATGTATAAAGATATTCCAACCGAATGTTATTTATCCTATAAGCACTACGGTTGTGACAACCGTACTGATGAGCTGTACCTTAACAGACGTATGCCATGTAACATCAATATAGCTTAAATTCACATGCATTTCTTTTTCAAACATAGAGAATATATTGTTGTGACATCATTCCGCAGCAATTTTTTCCGTGCGGACATTTCCGCCCGCGGTGATCATCTGTCGCGCCGCGGATGTTGCAACTCCGGTCCGCAGGGCCGGGAGATTCGAGGGAAAATTTTCACCGGTTGCAGGTTCGGGCGCCTCGCGCGCATACGACGCAATCTGATCGATGCGCGCCGGCGGCGCGTTAACGGGGTCCCGCCGTTATGCAACTTACTGCACCAGGCGAGGTTGCACCAACGAGAGAGAGAGATGCCAAGGTCGATGCACCAGCGAGCTGCACAGCGCAGCATCGACGCAGCGGCACGGAAAGAGAGAGAGAGAGAGAGAGAGAGAGAGAGAGAGAAAGAGAGAGGGAGAGTAGCGGCTTATCGTCGCCAAGTTCAACGATATCTCCCGTATGCGCAAATACGTATCCCCTTGCGCGAAACATACCTTTTACACAACTGACGTTCTCTCGCCGGCTGCACCGGGTAGCAAAGGATAGCGGCCGCATCTCCGCATTTAATTATCGAAGCAAATATTACAACGGCTCGAACTTGAAACGCCTCTGCGAGCCCTATTTACATTTTCATCCCACATTCATATTTACACACACTCTCTCTCTCTCCCGCGAGAGCTTCATCATTCGCTTTTTTTATTACGCATAATTTACATATCCTGAACGTGCGATCATTTCGCGCGGATTTCATTTCGCTGTGTAAAACGGATCGTCTGAAAACAATTCTAAATAAAAAGATTTCACTGCAGATACAGGAACCCTGTTTTCCTAATGATAGAAGAGCAAAGAAAGGCCCGAGATTCTTATCGCTATAGAAGTACCGACGTTTCTTACTCGCTGAAAGAGATCTGACAAAAATAAATTACTATGAAAATTACGAGTACTTGATGAGAAAAGCCAACTACTTCTTGAGTATAAAAAACACGTTACTAAAAGTGAAAAAATTTCAGAATCCTGTTTCTTACGTAAGAGACATATAACGTTATTCTAAAAATAAAAAAAAAATAGAAACGGCCAATTACGATCCGCTCGGCGCTCCTAGTGTTAAAAACAAGACGGGCAAATGCGAGGCGACAGCGCGCGAGTGACCGCACGCGGAATATATGCAACAGTCCACGCGATATCACTCGCGTGTGCGTTATCGGCTCGCACTTGTCTGCTTTCGTCAGCGTCAGGACGCGAGACGTTTCCTCGCACGGCGCTCAAAGCACAATGCAAGACACTTTCCACAGTCGGACAATTATTGCCGGGCCCCCGGTCCGACCTGCGCGACGCCCGCCGTCTATACTTAAACGCGCGCGGGAGAAAGAGAAGCTGTTCCCGCGGCGAGCCTTAACGATATTGCCAATAGAATGAGATACTCACCCGTCGTCGTCCCGCGCGGTGCTTCGGGAGGACGACGAAGGGATTCCTGGGAAGGATTTTCATCGCCCTCCTCTCTCTCTCTCTCTTTCTCTTAGCGTTACATTACGGGCGTGAAATCTGTCGGTTGGCGGCTTATGGCTTCTCCGCGCTGCGTGGAGCCGATGCGAAGGTCGGAAATGTATAGATAAAGGCCGACGATGACGACGACGAGGAGGAACGCGCGAGAATCGACGGCGTCGTCCCACGGAGTCGCGCCGCGAAGAGAGGGAGGGAGGGGGGGGGAGGACGAACGAAGAGCGAGGAGAGAGGTGGCGTACTTCCAAGCTCCTGCAGGCGCAAGAGAGACCTTAGTTCGAGGCGGAGGGCGTCTTGGGTGGCTGAAGGGATTCCATTTCAGACACTCCGGATCGATCTCTTTGTAGACGGGGCCCCGTCTCTTCACCCTCTCCTTGTAGTCGTCGATCACGTCCTGAAATTATTTCAACGGTCCCTTTCTCTCTCTCTCTCTCTCTCTCTGTCTTTTTTTTTATCCGCGTGGCTCTCACCCATTCCGAGGGCGACGCGACGCGACAGCCCGTGAACGTTTTGATCGCATTCTGACGGGGAGGGAAGGGAGTTGAGGAAATGTACAATGGCGAAGCGCAGGGGGGGGGGTGAGAGCCACGATCGAATTAACCGAATGATAATTAGTCTCGCGGTCGTGTGCTGGTCCGCTCATATCGGGGATACCGTTTCCCGGGACCACCACAGTGACGAATGATCGCATCGAAATCGGATCGTCCTTGTTGCATCATAATCACGTTAATAAGATACGTTTGATATTTCCGATATATTCATACTGTTTATACAGCGAGAGAGGCGTTTCGTTATTATCGCCGGGTCATTATTACTCGTTATCTATACCTCCACGGTTTGATTTGAGGTGAGAAGGAAAACACATCGGGGCAAGATAAAATATTCCTGCTAGACTGATTATTTAACAATAAGTCTGATTTACACAACGCTTTTTCACCAGCACCTAGCGTGCTAGTCTTCCAATAAACTAGCAGCTAAAAAAAATACAATTCTATAAATTGTATTTTTTTTTGATAATCCAAATGTTAACACTATCGCGACGTTTATCACGCGATAAATATTGCGATAAATTACAAAATAACGTAAAACATTGAGTATATTTTATAGACTTCTCGATAGAGGAATAACGCCTTGGTGTCGAAAATCCTGTGATATAATTATTAAGTCTGTACGGCCTTGATTTATACGATGTTTTTTTTATAGCAAATTAGCGAACTAGAAAACTATAGCAGCTATAAAAGTAATTCTATAGATTACATAAAACTATTATATATTTATGTATAACATAAAAAATAATTTTATAAATTATTTTTTAGCGGCTTTTCTTAAAAAAAAAATACAATTTATAGAATTCTATAGATTACATAAAACTATTATATATTTATGTATAACATAAAAAATAATTTATAAAATTATTTTTTATGTTATACATAAATATATAATAGTTTTATGTAATCTATAGAATTACTTTATAGCTGCTATAGTTTTCTAGTTCGCTAATTTGCTATAAAAAAAACATCGTATAAATCAAGGCCGTACAGACTTGATAATTATATCACAGGATTTTCGACACCGAGGCGTTATTCCTCCATCGAGAAGTCTATAAAATATACTCAATGTTTTACGTTATTTTGTAATTTATCGCAATATTTATCGCGTGATAAACGTCGCGATAATGTTAACATTTGGATTATCAAAGTATCAATGAAAATTGCGACGACGCGACGCGACGTTTTGCTCGCGGCAAATCCTCGACGTTATGTTATGCCCGTCGTCACGAGTTCTTATCAAGGAATTCCCGAAATCGGGCACGATAAATCCAAACAAGCACGATGATGAGCGTATTCGCGAGAAAGAATGGACGACATCTTTCGCAGAACGAAGGGGAAGTCATATATACACGATGCGTATATATATATATATATATATAATGTATATACGCGGCGGATTATGGCACAAAGGAGCGCTTACCTGTTTCTTCAGAATGATATGCTTGCCCTTCCAGTACTTCATCATACCGAGGGCCTGCAAAGTGCTGACAATGTCGTACGAGTCGATGGCCATTTCCTTGCTGATATCTGAAAGAAGAATTACCAAAGCCTTACGTCTCCTTTTCGTGCTCGTGTTCGACAACGGCCTTCCCTTGGACCTTTCCCCCTCCTCCCCCGTCGTGAAGTTGAAAGTGCAGGGGAATCGTCGTCGATGGAAAAAGTCTCGAAGGGACACATAATAATCCAATCTCATAGAAGAAACTTGTTTCTCCCGACGCTCAAACAGAGCCAAGAGTAATAAAATTGACGGGGACTAGTAGAAAGATACACACGATGAATAAAACATCGTGAATTTATTGCTATTTACATTTATGTATGGAAATATTTTATGTATGAAGAGAATACTATTCAAAAAAATTTTTTGTTTCAAAGAAAAAAACGTTTTCCTCCTCTTGAGCCTATTTAGCTACGCTATTAGCTACGCAAATCCGGGTCTTTAGGTTTTCCAAATCTCCGGTTAGAAATAACATAATGTATTCTTTACGTTTTCTAAAATGTATATATGTAAACTGGAAGCCATTCTAAGCCGCGAGGCAAGGGTTAGAATAAATAATTAGTAATGAAAAAAATTATATACTTGCATTCGTTTTGCATCGATTCGATTAATACTTGAATCCATTTAACGCGGCTCTGGATATAAATGACAATAAACTCAAATGAAGAGCTCGACGGCGAGGGAGCCGTCGCAAAAATGCAGGAAATGATGAATCATATATAATCTGCTGCGGTTTTCAGCGGCCGGGCGGTTTATCCTGCCCTCCGTGGATACAATTATTCAACCGCTAAAACCAGTTACGTTGGGAAAACTTGACCAGTGGATCAATAACAATGCGGCGTAAATCCCGTGTCTCCCTTGTCTCGAGGCACAAAATCCAAAATAGATCCAATATAACGTCCGTCCGAAATACGAAGTTCTATATCCTAAAATTATACGTATTGTACAACTACTTCTTTGTCAAAATATCAAGATAGGATAAATTCTGAGATCCTGATTGAAATAGCGAGAAGTGGAAAGAAGGATTGGCAAAGTCTCCTCTCGCCAGATTAAAACATTTTTCACGAAGTCGCTCGAGATCTTCCGCGACGAATGTAAATTTTCCATCCGCGGGATAATTTAGCACGCTTTCGAAATCAGGTGTTGAATCGAAGCGCGGACCACCCGCGAGTCGCATTTAGCGCGCACTTTCAATATATTTAGCGCGCATGAATATTTAAATGCCGTCCCGTATAATATCGGAAGTCAAAAATGACGGTCGCGCGGCGACGCGGCTTCGTGCTGACCTACCTTTTACGGAGATCTCCTTGCCGCCGAAATTGCAGAGATACTGCAACAGCACGTCCTTCCAATAGCTGCGATACGAGATCAGGCCGAGGTCCGAGAGCGGCTTCTCCGGCGAACCGATTTTCTTCTCGACCCTCGTCAGCAAGTAACCTGCGCAGCGAATTGTCGCACGGATTCGGTTTATTCGTCAAATATTAATGCTTTTTGTCAAATAAACTTATTTCTCTGTTACAGCGCCGATCGTGTCAATTCATGGCTCGTGCGCATCAATTGATAATCTTCTTAAGAAAAAAAATAATAATAGTACAAGTAATAGAATTTAAAATATTCAATAACTCCACTTTAAGAAAATTGTAATTCCAGATAATTTCCAGATAATTTGTAACTCAATTGATATATGTGAAAAAGTATTGCGTTAATAATTTTTCGACCGGGACTTGGCGAGCACTTGGCGAATGAAATTTCTAAAGCGTAATTGGACAACGAGATCCCATTATGCACTTAAAGTCAAGCGGACAAGTGGCGGCGGGCCCGAACAGAGACGAACCCGGCCCTGGCCAGCGGTGCCCGTCTGCTCCCGGTTGAACGTCCGTTCCGCCTCGTTTGTCCCAAGTATTCTGCGACCGAGGCATCAAAGAAAAATGTATAGACAGCCGGAGGGGGGGAGGAGAGCGAGAGAGAGAGAGAGAGAGAGAAGGCACCCCGAGGCGCTCCGTTCCGTGCTGCCTGCCTGCCTGCCTGCTTCGCCGGTGAATCGGCGAAAATCGTCCGTTGCGCGCCGTCCGTCGTCCGTTCACGTCAATGGAATTATCCGACGGACCGGTTAAAAACCCGTTTTTCAGAGAGGCGACTTAAATGCCAGATCCAGATCTACCGCAACCCGGAGTCCGAGATCGATAACGCGCGCGGCGCATTTAAACGCCGACGCCCGGCGCGATCAATCGGCGCCCTTATCAGAAGGGAAGGGAGACTCGCGCAGGTGAAATCTATCGAGGTGAAGCCGATCGGAGCGTAAAGCGATCTCACTTAAGGGCAACGTTGATTGAAGCCCCTTTCCGCAGCACAACGTCGAAAATCGACTGCAAATTGACTTCGTTCCAGTTTTCGCCAAACTTCGTCGACTCGGATTTCCTCGGGGGAGATCAAATTGGACAGCAGAATTTATAATACACGAACACCGTTTCAGTAATCCTCGTCGTTTTACGTTCGCGACGTGAATCCGAAATTGTCCTCCACGAAGATTCTCGGAGTGACACGCGAGTCCGCACCGAGGGAGAGAGCACGGCGAGAGGAGCTATACCAAGAGAGGAGAGACGGGACTGATCCGCGAGATTCAAGGATATGTAAAAGTCAATCTCACCTCGAGAGGGAGACGGGATTTAATGGACCCGCCGCACCCGCGCCCGTCGCTCGTTCGTTCGCTCGCATATTGCATGGATTTCGCGCGAACTTCGAGAGCATAGCACCTTGCATTATGTATAACCGATCTTTCTCCGCACGCATATTACGCGAGACGACGCGGACGATGGATTCGCGCTATAGTATAGCTTCCTCAACGCTGCACGCCAGTGTGTCTCTCGTCCGCGTTAACGTTGTTCGCTTGCACATTCCCGAAATTACCCTCCCGCGCCGTCGAGTGCAAGTCGCGGGGTGCAAGTTCAAAAGCGCGCCTCATTAGCAAAGTGATCTGTCCCGTCACGCTGCAGCGCCGTGTCTTCTGCCGAATAAATTTCGCCCCCCCCCTCCCCCCTTCTCTCCCGGAAGACGTTTATTTAAACTCCGAATGTGCCGCAGTTTCCGCACGGCTGATGGATCAAAGAGCGAGATAATTAGGTGTTAAGAGATTACTTGCGACGCCGCGGCCGCACCGAGGGAAGCACCTTTGATTCATTGTGTTCCTGAGTCTCTTAAATCCGGAGATCATGGGACACTTAAGGTCCGCATCTACAATGAGAGTATAAGCCGTAAGAAATTGACCAATTATAGTCGAATACAAGAAGAATAATCGATTATGATTGACCAATTTCTTATGGTTTACGACTTACTACTCTCATTACTGTAGATGGACCTTTCATAACGCGCAGACGTTACTTCCGTATTCGGACATCCACGGTTGAATGAAGGTATTTATAACTCGCGATGAAAGCAATTCGCGAGCAGGAGAAAGTGTTCTTGGCCCTAATACGTTTTCGGAAGAGTCAACACTGTTAAATTTACGATGTCAAATTATAATTGTAGATTCGTTTTTAATCATTTCCCTGGGTCGCTCACTGACTCCTACTCAATATGTCATTAATTTAACTAAAATAATGGAGTTGGACAATTTAACTCGAGAAGTATACTAACTTCTATTCCAAATTTAGCTTATATTTACTAAGTGCACATATATTAAATGAAACATGAACGTTAATTTACTCTGAAACTGCGCAATTCAATCACAGAAGTAGGTTAATTTAGACGTGATTATTTTCTTAACCACATCGTTTCGCATTAAAATGTAATACAATTTGACATGTATAGAAGTTAAAAATATCGAAATGTTATTTAACTTGAGGAAACTTTGGTTTAAATTTGCTCCTTTGGTATTTAACAGCACGTGAACGGCTGACGTACAGCGAGAATGAAACTTTCTCTTAGTTTCCGATTGATTTCGAATTGTACTGCAGGAAAAGGATACACGCCGCGCGAGTGTCTTTTCGCCACACAAAGTTTCTCCAAGGTCCTTCAGATCCTTGGATTTCGACCGCAGACAACGGCTCCAAGGTCGCCGGTGTCTGGGAATACGCATCTCTGTCGCGCACGGCTCTCCGCGGAAGAGCGGCGCGGACGGACGCGCTCGACGCCTTCCTCCGCGGAGAAGCTTCACTTCGGGCCTCTTTTATCCCGCTGGACGGACAAGAACGGATGGACGGACGGACAGGAGAGCGGGGAGAGAAAGAGAGACGTGTCCCCGCGGCGGACCAGGACATGCCGATCCCGGCGCGCGCGTTCGCGTTTCCGTTCCCGTTCCAGGGTGTTCCCCGGCCGGCGGAGGGTTCAACGACCACCGCCGGCTCCACCATCTCCTCCAACCTTCGCGGACCGCGTATCTCCGCCGGCAGAGAGAGGACACTTCTCTCTATCCAACCTCCCTCTCCCCTCCGCCCGCCTACGGCACTCTGCGAGCTCATCCCCCGCTACTGTCTCTTTCTTTCTCTCTCTCTCCTCCCCCCTCCCCCTCCTACCCTTCACCATTTCGCCGCTGATTACTTTGGGAGGGTGGAACGCATTCATTACGCGTCCGTTCAGTGTGTAGACTTTCGGAATCGGCGCATAGGGAAAGGATAGCGAGCGCGCATCGGCGAGGGGAGGGAGGGGGTGAGAGAATGGAGAACCGCGGCGGAGGGGAGGAAGTTCGAGAGTGGAAATTCGAGAAAGAGGAAAACGGTGACCGGCGCGGGGCGGTGGGAGAAAGGAAGACGGATCAGCGTGACGGGAGCCGGGCGAAAGGGAAGGGGACGAGGGGGCGACAGGGAGGAACGTCCCAGTCTCGGGCAGGGTCGGCACGACCGAAGGGCGCAGGGCGAAATGAGGGTGCGAATCGCGAGGAGAACGCGAACGGGTTGAAATTGGGTGCTGTTGAGAGTAGTTCGTTGCCCCGCGGTCGAAGAATCACTGACGGGGAGATTTACGACTCACCGGGAATATTTATCCTTCATTTCAGTAGGAGGGGTGAAGGGGGAAGGGGTTATACCGATTCGGCACGAGTCACGTTGTTTCGCAAAAACGATAATGGGATTTCGACTTAATTTAGGGACGATTCGCAATTACCGTGCGATACATATCCTTACACGGAGGTAGACAGAGCAATTATGTTGGCGGAACTAAGAGAAAGTATCGCGATAAAATGCCGATAAGCTTGGAATTTTATATAGCTTAACGGAAGTGGCTTTCGATCATCTGAACGGATGCTGCAATGTTTGATGCTTCAAATTAAAAGATATCCTTTTTTTGCTCAAATTTAAGCAGAGAAGAGAAGGAATCTCGAGATCTCGTGTATCTTTTTTCTCCTACTCTTTATTTATATAAGTATATTAACTTTTCTGTTTTAAATATTCCATCTGTTCGTCTGCAAATCTGCTTTCTGTCACGAGAAGAGGGAGTTGAATCTACGAGACGATCGCTTCGGTTGCACGAGGCACGTTCATTTCGCTGCAGCTTAGATTGTTAAATCGAGATTCAATCCTTTCTTCCCCCCCCCCCCACGATAGTAATTTCTCTCTCTGGAACGAAAACGATCCGTCTTCGGGGGAGACATCTCGGCAGCGTTGAGGGAAAAAAAGGAAATCCCGTGTCAATGAGAAGGACCAGTCCGTCCGTCTGGCGGGATGATATCGCAACGAGATGCGCGGCGCGTATCCGCCCTTTGCCCCTTTGACGAAGGCGAGAGATGCCGTGCGCCACGCCGACCCTGCCCAGTCGCGGCGGTGTTGCGGCGCGGTAACCCCCCGCCCCTCCCCCTCGCCGGCTTCCTCCCTCTCTCCCTTCCCGTCCCTTACTGTCGCCCTCCCCCGCCGTGTAACCGGCGTGTTATACCCTAGGCGTAGGGGAAAGGGCGTCGGTGACCCTGCCAATCCTACGTAGGGATAGTGGAGCGAGGTCACGAGAGGTCATACGATTCCGAGCCCTTCGGGCGTCCTGCGTCGAGCGCGGAGAGGGAGGGGGAGGGGGGAGGGAGGGAGCGAGGAGACGAGTCGACGGCGGCGTAGGGAAAGGGCGAAGGGAGCGGGAGGCGCGGCGAGCGATAGCGGGTATAGGGCAGGTACAGGAAGCCCTGTACTGTAGGGATCAAGGTGTGCGGAGGAGAGTAGTCGCCCAGGAGAGGAGAGGAGACGCGCGCCGCGTGCGTGAGACAGGAAGCGCAAGTGTACGCGTATAGCCTGCACGCGTGTCTGCACGCGTGTACGCGACGTCGGTGGCGGTGGTTGTAGAATGGAAGGGGGGGAGGGGGTCGATCGATGCGGCGAGACGCCGGGCGTCGCACTTTCCACAGACCACTTCGCTCTCCAACCTAACGCTATACACACAGTTCACCATCACCACCACCACTACCACCATCATCACCGTTGTTATCTGCAGGGACGCTGACGATACCGCTTCCGCAGTATCGATATGCGATCGCTCCAATGCTCGCAGATCTCGCAGTTTATGGATTTACGAAATTGGGAAGCTGCGATGTTTTTTGTAAAAATATCATACATGGATTTGCTGTACAGTAATGCTAATGCGTTGAAACTGTGACTCACTGACCGGATTGGATGTTGAAAATAATTCGTACAAAAACAGCGATAAAATAGGGAAGATAAATATTATAGAGATCAATAGTACAGAGGTATCAAAAATAAAAATAATAAATCAGAATAATAAAAGAATATCCAAGCAGACTTTAGAGGCGCTCCCTTTTCCAAGAAATTATTCAAATGAATTTAAATATAGACACTTTTAACTTAAAGCGATTTTACATATACTGTAATTTAATACCTAGGAAATTCTCCGCCATGTATATTTTTCTGCAGGAAAATAAACAGTTACCGAATCCATTCGTGCGGGATACGCGACGCGATATCTCGCGTAGGGGCGCGCGGGCTCGTAGCGCCGGCCTTGTACAGTCGAAATACAGCCGGCGGCGGAGTCGATGGCACCGACATTGGATGCAGAAGGGATGGAGGGAGGAGACTGAGGGAGAAAGAGAGAGAAACGGGGAGGGAGGGAGGGAGATTGCCGTCTCGCTCGCGGAAAAGCCGACGGGGGTTGCAAAACCACCCCTCCCTTCCGCCCCCGTCGTCGACCGACCGACACACCACGACGGCACAGTACGTCGACCCTCGACCAACCAACCAACCAACCAACCAACTCCCGACGCACCCTCTCCTCCCCCTCATACTACTACCGGTGTAGTAGCGCCGCGATGCCCGCCGCCGCACCGCCGCCGCTGCTGCCACCGCCGCCGCCGCCGCCGACGCCACCGACGCTCGTTCGGCATCAATGAAAATGACGTCACGGCAAAAAGCCCCCGCGTTTAATTATCAAAGCTACGCGCCTCGCGCTCGCGCGCGTGCACACGCGTTGTCCGCGTGCGTGTGTGACGGCGGTGGCGGCGGTGACGGCGGCGCGGCGCGGCGGGGCGGTGGCAGCAGCAGCGGCAGCGTCGGCGACGACGACCGTCAACGAGGAATCGCCACGCGTCGGGTACGCCGTGGAATTGGCACGTGACGCGAAAGAGACGGAGAAAGGAAGTCGACGCGATCGCACATTCCGTGGCGCGTTTAAGCGCGTCAGGCGTGCTCGCACGCTCGGTGATAATATCGATCGCGATCTCGGATGAGAATAACGAAAGTTTTAAGAGAAACAAAATCGGCGCAGGCGAGAATAGATAAGAGAGCAATAATAGTAAGATACACATTAAATTCTACGCAGCGAATTTAGAGACATACATGTTCATTTTCTCTCAGCAATGTATAGATTAACTTCAATTTCTAATAATTCTTCGCAAAAAAAGATAAAGAGGCAGTTAAAACCGAGCTTAAAGTTAACCGAGATTAATATATAATAGTATAATCTATTGGAAACAGCGACGATTTATTCGAACGGCCGTACCTCGTAATAAAAATCGGAAACAACCCTTCGTCCTTCGTCGTTGCAGTATATGTGCATACAATATATTGGTATATATATACTTACTAAAATCGATGAGCAGCCTGCCGTAGCCCTGCCTTTGGTAAGGTGGCAGCGTCAAGATGCAGGACACGTTGTAATTCAGGAAGGAGTTCTTTTCCTGGAACACAATCATTAAAGCCTCGGTTAGCGAAAGTACATATACGGCGAGTCACGGAAGTCTGGTTAAAAGTACTGCATCACCGCCCGATTTATCGCCACCGAGATTCTTGCAAATTAACGATTATTATCGCGCGGAGTAATTTGTGAAATCATTATCATCGCTGCCAAATTACCTGAACTTTTTTCTTATCAACAAGATACAATTCTGCGCTACGCGGCGGAGAAGCAAAGTTTATAAATGCATTCGATATATTAAAGGCGCATGATCGATGACATTCCGCTCGCGAGCGAGCGCGAATAACGCGCCAGACGCGAAAGTGTGACGTTAATGCAACGGAAATGCATCTCTCGCGTTCTCGCGCGGCGAGGGAGATAAGGGTGTATATTCGTGACGGTATATTTAGAATCTGTCGATGCCTACGCAACGTGATCTTTCCGGAAGAGTTTCGAGCTTCCGTCCGTCGCGGATAGCTCTCGAAAAATTAATTAAAGATTCTCGCGAGCCCGTCGGGACGCGTTTCTCTCCTGGGAATACCGACATCAATTTTTCATCCGTCATCCTATAACGGGCACGCGAACCCCCCCCCCCTTCCTTCCCCGTCATCGTGGGGAAGTCGTGTGCCTGGAGAAGAGGAAAGACCGTTGCAGCAATTCCGAAAGAGTCAACTCTCAGAAATAGAGCACCCGGGGTGCTGAATAAAACGGGGACGCATTCTCGTATTTTTAACGCGACCGCGAAGCGGCGCGGAAGCCGTGCGGCATCAGATTAAATAAAATCCCTTTTCCGGAATCACACTCGGTATATGCCGATTTTAGTCCTAAGACGTTCATTATGGAAGCGCAAGTCGAACTTCTTGAAATCCCCCGCTAAAACGAAGGCCCAAATCGTGCATTGCGCTCGAACTCGCCTCGAGGCCTCACTTATCGCACTTGCAAAATGAATGCCTGATCTACAGGGTGTCTCTCGCGTACTATTCTCGCTTGGAATTTCTACAATCGAAAAGCTCTTTCTGCGTCATGCCTGATGCCCGACGTCATCGCTCCCGTTCCGAGTTCTTTGTGTCGAAAAGGAATTTGCGGGCGGTCTTGCCCCGCGGAAAGAGAGAGAGAGAGAGATATACCTCGAAAGAAAGTCGGTCGAACGAGAACGGTCCAAATGCGTCATTCGCGCGTTAATTTAACGTTTGGCACGTATTTGCAGCGTCGCTGGAGAAAATACGCGTTGCGAGGAATGTGTATACCTATCCTGTCGCGAACGCGCGAAAAATTGAAAAATTGCAAGGGAAAAAGGAGCAGAGAACGGTTTGCCGTTCAGTTAATCCGACCGACGGCAACGAAATGCCATTTTTCCGAAGAGAGAGTCTCGCGCGTTTAAGCGCCGCATTGAATTCCGGCAATGAATATAAACAATTTTTTTTTAGCAGAAACTGTTATATCCGATATGTATTTTCCACGGGAAGTGCTGGACATCGCGAGATGCTGTTGTGAATAGAATAATGGTCATCTAGCAGATACAAAAGAGATGCAAAATCTCCCTCTTCATATATCTCTCTCTCTCTCTCTCTCTCTCTCTCTCACACACACACACTTTATTTCCTCTTTCGTCGATTCTCGCCGTGAAAGAGGAGCTTAATCTCTCAGCCGGGATTACAAGTTATATTCCGGAGACGGCAACTATCATTTTCCACGGGAATATCCGTGCGGGTCCATTCGAGAATATATATACCTCGTTGAGTGGACGAAAGGGGATATTATAGAATCCGCGGTTATCTCTCGGGAATGAATTCGGATAGGATCCCGCGAGGCCGCTCGACGTGCGGTTCCGCAAAATTAAGAGTCATCGCGCACCTGGCGCGGCCTCCACCCCCCCCTCCTTCTTTCCCTGCACAAAGATTCGTGCGAAATCGCAAAAGTGGCTGCTCTTCCGTGAAAGGCAACAAAAAACAAAAAAAAAATTAACGGGTCGCTGATTAAGATCTACCCCTTTAACGCCTCGCGCGCGCAGTGACGCAGCGACGCGACACGACTCTTTTTCCGGCACGCGAGGCTGTGAGGATCCGTTCCGTTCGTTACATCCTCGGGCGCGCCTTGACGAGCGCTGCGCCCGAACGGATGGGTCTCTCTCTCTCGATGGTATTCGGACACCCGGTATTTCCGGCCGTATGCGGCCGCCGTGCTGTTGCTAACTGCCGAGGCAGCAACGGTCCGAAGGACACGACCCGCGCGCGTCGGTGTGTATGCGTGTGTGTGTGTGTATGTGTGAGTGCGTGTGTATCTGTGTGTGCGTGCGTGCGTGCACACGCCGGCGATGCCCACACGTGTGCGTATCGGCGTGTTAACTCGGCGAAGTAGAAGACGAAGAAGAGAGGAGCGAGAAATAGGGATAGACGAGTGGCGAGTGAGACGCGCGTTCTACATGAGAAAGCAGAGAAAGAGAGAAAGAGAGAGCGACGGGAAGAGGGAGAAAACTTTGGGCCCTGAGAGAGGCAACCGTCCCCGAGAGGGGTCCGTCTCCGTCGGAGGGATGAGGGGAGAGACCAACTGCTAAGAACTAAAGAAAAAGAAAAATATGTATAGGGATAGATATTTTCTCCGGAGCATATTTTGAAACGGCGATATTGTTATCGATGGTATTACGATGCCCAGAGAGTATATACAGGTAACGGCAATTTACGATGCCTGTAAAAGTATCGGATGAGCACTAACCGAAGGTTAAGGAACGCAACGTTCAGAGAAAGTATAGTGATTTAGTGTAGGAGGGTGACTACTCGTCTCGACGGCCAGTCGTCGGAGTTAAGTGAGACAAATCGACGGGAATGGAAATGAGTCAGCGAACAAGTTCCGAAAGCCCGAGCTTGTCCTCGTCCGATTCTATTCACCGCGTCGTCTCTCACGAGAAACGTAAAAATGTAACAGGACACCGCCGCCGTTCCATCGCTCGCAAACCCACCAAAAAGATTCTCCTTTGTCGCAATGTCGAAGTTCAGGGATTTCTTCGAAGCGTACGTAGGTACGCTACACCGCGTCACTTCGTCGTTCTCGTTAAAACCGTGCCGAAAAATTCAATTGTACCACTAGTGTAAGATCTGACGAGGCGAGACGAGAAGGATTTCCACTGGGTCCTCCTACATACCTGTCGCAGATTTGCAAAACGCTTCGTTAATCCTGCGAAAAGCGTAGGTAGGAGGATCTCGAGAAAGAGAGAGAGAGGAGGGGGGGGCACGGAGAAGAACGAAGAGAAATCGAGAGAGAGAGAGAGAGAAAGAGGAGGGAGGGAGAGGGAATCTGGGGCCCGCGACGTCCTTGGGCCCGGTAGTCACCGTGCTGCTCAGGGCCGTCTCGACGTCCCCACCGACATCGTGACAGAGGAGGCCATATACTTTTCCTCCTCCTGCTGCTCCGTCTCGCTCTTTTTCCTTCCCGTCGATCTTGCTCGATCTCGTTTCCTCGCGCCGTCCGGTCGCCCCCATGGACGACGTCGCGTAAGGACGACGGAGCAGTGGGGCACTTTGTCAGCTCGTTCGAAATCGATCTGGCGATGACAAACGGCGGGATTCGGGATCAACGCCGGGAATTGTGAATTCCCTCGGCTGGTCGCCGAGAGGCGCGAACTACAGCATTCGGATCGTTCCCTGAACTCTACCAATCTGATTTTCATAATTACCTTACGCTTTATTCCCTATACATATCCGAACCGATACATCAAACTCGAGGCAAAATTAATATAAAAATTCTTTGTCGCAACTGCACGAAAAATTTTTCCGCCAAATTTCAAACGTATACATATCTATTTTATTTTAAGAAGAAAGTTAAAAAGAAAGTGATCTATAACAGGGACCGCCCATTTCGTTTCGAGTACACTAGTCCAGCTACATAGAACAGATCTCTGGTTTATTGAGATCGATCGGCTCTCTCGCGCAAGATGTTAATTGCGGCAGGATTTATGGCCACGGCAGTTCGCCGCGCTTATACGGTACACCGGACGCTCGTTCCATTTCGTTCGCGATATGCACGGCGGCGCGTCAAGGACTACCCGCACGGAATCCCGGACTCGTGGCGTCAATAATCACGGCACGGTCCTCGTGGGCTGTCCTGGCGTAGGAGGAAAGTGCAGTTTCTCTCGGCCGAGGAGGCGAGGTACAGCTTCTTTTGCGGATATATAGTTCGCCGGAATCGATACTGGCACTTCTCTCTCTCTCTCTCTCTCTCTCTCTCTCTCTCTCTCTCTCTCTCTTCCCCCCTTTCTTCCTCCCTTCATCTCCGGAACACGGCAAGGTGGCGCATAGAGTAACGATCGCGGGCCGCAGCCACGGCCCGTCGCGCTCTACGTGCGAGAGAGGAATAAAACAGATCAATGATCGTAACGATATATACGTACGTCTCTCGGTCGACCGACCGCACCATCTGCGCCGTGGAAACGATACACCATATACATATACGCGCGCACCTATACATCTGCACCCACAAATGCGCAAGCACACACACACACACACACACACACACACACACACACCGAGCGCGCGCGCGCTCCTCTTTCTGTGTCTCTCGATTAGCTTAGCCGACCTAACGAGAGGTCCAAATAGTTTCATCAAAGATCCACGGCGCGCGGACTCGCGCTACGTGATCGAACCGCACAAACCGTGTACGCGTGACGATTCAATTTCACGAGACGGAGAAGAGAATGAGGCATACACAGCGCGAAGATCCGGGACAAAGAAAGCCGGGAGCTCGTACAGGGCGAGACGATTAAATTCGCACGAGAACATAGCCAAAAAAATGTGTGAGAACAATGGCACGAAATAGAAATAAGAACGAACTCGAGTCAGGCGTAATGAAAAAATGCGGTATAATGGAAAACAAAAAATTAATTCTAAATAATACACGCGAGTACGCAAATAATATAATAATAATACAAGCGATGCAAGCAAAATTATTACAGGATCTTGGAAGTTTCAATTATTAAAAAGAAAAAAGTGTAGAAGTTATTAGGAAACAACG